ATGGCCACATCACGCTGATTGAAACACCGGTTCCCGTATGATCACCAAAGTTAAGCAACGTCGAGCCTGGTCCGTACCTAGATGGGTGGCCGCTTGAATGTGCGCGTGGTGCAATGGATAATGGCTCGGAATTCTTAATCAGAGAGCCGAATTCGAATTCACGTTGGGTTCGTTACAGTCACTTACGTGCAAATAACTTTGAGAAAGATACGAATCCATCTGTTCTCCCCCCAGCTATGAGTTAATTAGTAAGACTTGCATCACGAAAACCATTATTGCCCCCCTCCCAAATCTTACAATAATATGAAATTTTTTTTTTAACTTTAAATAACCTGCATAGGGTTGATAAGCTGTAGAAAACGAGTCAATCAATCAAATTATATTTGTTGACATCTCCACTGCAAATAGTGTTTGCTTTTCTTTACAAACTCCTCATACACGCGTCTTCTGCCATGAAACACTGCTTTGTTTTCGCACCTTGTGTTCTTTCAGGGCGTAGCCGATCACTGACCAATGACTGCTACATTGCTTTCACTGTTTCGGGACCATTTGCATGCGTTCATAGACTCCATATGCCCCAACAATGTTGGGTTATTCCAGAAGCACAATACACTGTAACATCGAACCCGGCTTGCCAAGAATGTGTTTGAGGAACATTCTGAAGATGTCGAACAAATAATATACCCACCACGTTGACCCGACATAAGCCCAGTGTTGCATTTATGGGACATGGTGGAGATATGCATTTATATATTTGCGTACCTGCACCTACAAATATCAGGTAGCTAAGGACAACGATCGAGATGGCATAGGCAACATCTCTTCTGAGATCTTCCGACCAGATGTGGAATCGATGGCACATCTTCATTGGGATAGAGGGAGCCCAACACGTTACCAAACACACTGGCACACCAATGTATATGGCAGACAGACATCAACAACATTATCGCAAACTTACAATAATAATTTCAACTAACAGTAGTCGGCGATTTATTTCAGATAAGCTACAATACTTTTACATTTTGATATTGTTCCCATCAAATCTGAAAAATTGCTCATCTGTTATTGAATGTGAAAATGTTTCAGAAGTTAAGCTCACAATTTTGAGTAATTCGTCCGCTGAATGTTTGTACAGTTAGCCGACACTGTAAAAATGTAACATTCTATTTATTACATTCAACTTCAGCGTTCTTTTTTTGTTTTTCGCTGACACGGCATTGTGCAGAGGATAAAATGAAAGCAGGGCGCCGATTTCAAGAAGGGGGACGTTAATTAACAGGCAATGTAGCGAAAACTTTAATTAACGTTTAATTTGTCACTAAACGTGTCCAAAGAAGCTTTAAGCTAATGCACAACATCGACTAGCACATCATGAACGACCAAAGTTCAATATCAGCTTGGGACAAATACTAGTAGATAACACCAAAAAACCCTATGGCACTCAATGCAAGTAAAAGACTCAAAACTCTAGAAGCTATTTGTTATGGGAACTTACCTATAATGATAATGGACTCTCCTTGACACTATAAATACTGCACCTCTCAAGAGGTATAATGAATGAATGGTGTAACGAGTCGAGACAATATTAGTTCACTCTAAACCACACAGACAGTCATTACTAACACCTTCAATTTCTTGTACTATATTTCTGTTGTAATATATCTTTGTTATTCTACTCTTGTGTTCGTGTTGTTCTTACTTGGTTCTAAACCTTGGACCATAACTGTGGTGCAAGGATATTGGACCATAACACTATTATTATACGAAATAAATTTATACAAAATAAACGGCCCACATTAATTAAAATATCATTCGCCAGAGAAGAAGGTATCTTGAAGTACATGTGATATGATTAATGTACGCATATATTTTATCAGTATCATAATAACAAAAATACAAAAAAATAAAATACAAATAAAAATTTAAATTAAATCGCATACTTTTTGTGCAGCCTCGGTCTCAATAGTCGTTACACAAGACCATTTCAAACGTTCAGCTTCCCCACAAAATACCAGGATACAGACAAAGGAATTCCAACTACCACACAGATACCACCAGGTCGGTTCTTGATAATGTGTTATTTCGTAAGAAAAACTTTCATATATTCTTTTATTTCATATTAATATTCATATATATATAATTTCAGTTGAGCTCTCTGGGGAGGATATGTGGGTTGGTAAACAGTGACTATTATAGCTATATAGCGAGACTCTTCGCTAATGCGAATTGAGTCACTGGGCGTGTTTATAAATATAAACACGCTAAAAATCCACTTTCCTCCCTACCGATGGCTTAATGGTTAGAATCTCCGACTGACACCAGTTCAGTCGGGCTTCGACCCTAGCTGGAGGCAACCGGATGTCTAGCCACACTGATGATCTGTGAAACAGCGAAACAGTCTGTCTGTGGATGACGGTATATATATATATATATATATATATATATATATATATATATATATATATATAATATTCAAATCCCTAAATGTTTCACTTATCTATTTCTCGCTAATGTGTCTATATGTATCAACACTATTGTTTCTAATTTTATAAATCTCTTGAGCTTTATCGCTAGCATTATATGCATAAAATAATGAAGACATTGGAAAAGTTTAAAAGTATTTTCAGTGTGTTTCTCTCCATGTAAAATACTGAGGGTGACAAATTATAATGGAACCCTATAATTATCCCAGTATTGTCTATAAAGAAAAATTCACAGGAAATATATAGGCGAAACATTTATGAATTTAGATAAAAGAATACGAGGATTGTGCAAAAAGTATCAGGACTGGTGCTATAAAAAGAAAACTACAATACATATCGATTCAGCATTTAATCTCCTTCGAAGTAGTCCAGTCTGAAGCTTCTGAAGCCACACTTTATCCAGCATCGTTTCCATTGATGGAAGCATTCCTGGAACTTCTTTTTTTGGATGCCTTGTCGCATTCTCATGGATTTCCTCGAAGTCTTCAAATTTTGTTCCTTTAATTTCTGAAGATGAAGAAGTTGCAAGGGACGAGATCTGATGAATATGCTGGTTGTCGGGCCTGGGGAATGTTGATCTTGGTCAAAAACTGCTGCACAAGCCATGGTCACGTGGTCAAGTCTTAAAATAAAGTCTAAAGTATCGCGACCTTGCCAGAAAGCTAAGGAAGTTGTGGAACATTTAGGTGACAGTCGTTCCAGAAATTATCGGAACACTGAGAACGGCCTCGAAGAGTCGGAGAAAAAGTCTAGAAGAATCGGAAATCAAAGAAAGAGTTGGGTCTATCCAAACAACAGCATTACTGAAAACAGAATACTAAGGAGAATGCTGGAATTTTGAGGAGACTTGTTGTCACTTAATCTCCAGTATAACCCAACCATTACTACTACTACTAAAGAAGAAGAAGAAGAAGAATTGTAATTCGTTAGAAAAAGGAAACTGGTTTTAGAATCTGTGGTTTCTTACTCGAATAACACTATTGCAAATTAGAGGGCAAACGGTTCTTCGAAAATGGGCGCCAGCCGCTGGACAGTAAGCTAATTTCGAAAGCAGTTACTTCTTTTCTTTTTATGTGCCGTGTTCTTTCAGGACGTAAGCGATCGTGGCTCCCCAGTTCCCACTATCCCTTGTAGCTCTCAACAAGTTCCTACCCTCTGCCACCTTCCCCAGACCACGTTCTGCCATCCTCTTGCTTAAGCCCGCTAGTTATGTCATGCGTTGCTTTCCCTTGTCTCTTTTTCCCTCTGTTCGACCTGTGAGTATCTAATTCTCCAGGCTTTCCTTACTCATTACGTATCCCAGAATTTCATCTGCCTCTTCCTTATCTTAAATTTCAGCTCCCTCCTTGTTTGCATCCTTTCCAAAACATCATCGTTGTTCATACGCTCGCTCCATGATATCCTTAGCAACCTTCTGTAGAACCACATCTCCGCTGCCTCGAGTCTCTTTTTCATCTTTGAGGAGACCGTCCAACATTCGTTGCCGTATAGGAGGACAGGTGTCACGTAGCAGCTCAGTATTCTTTTCTTTGTCACCAAAGAAATCATCTTGTCTCGCAGTAGTCTGCCCAGCTTTTGGAATGCATCCTTGGCCATCCCAATCTGTCTTCGGATCTCAGCGTCGCAATTTATTTAAAATATGGAATATAATAGTTTTTAATGTGTAGGTTTCAAACATTAACACAATTAACTGAATTTCTGTTCTTGAGGCATAGTGTAAAGAATGGTAGATTTCTGGCAGTCGTCAATATTGGTCCCAATTCCAATTTTCCCTAGACGCTTTTCAAGTTTCTACGTGGTGTTCCAAGCTCAACCACTACTACAGCAATTACTTCAACAGCCATGTTTCATGGCTTCTTCAACTCCCAAGCCAGATCCTGATATTTTTTCAATTTTTTTCAGCTACTTCTTATTCCTACTTTTGTTGTTGTATCGGTAAAAACTTGTGGTTCTCCAACAGTAAAAAAAAGAAAGAAAAGAAAATGAACTGATTTACTGCCTCATTCAAAGCCTCGCTTGTCGCACGATTACATTTCAAACTTGGACGTTGGACGGACGAGGTGAGGAATGTATTTGCCATACTTTACTATGTTGGCAGAGAAAAACAAAAAATTTTTTAGGCTTCCCTTCAATATGATTCACATTTTCCCTATCAGTGCGCATGCGCGTGTTTGGATGTACGCAACAGATTCGCGATATGAAAAGACTGAACGTCAAAAAAAAAAAATTCAAGCAGACGATCTCGCTTTTGCCAATGCATAGTCCGCTCTCTCGGCACTCCGCCAACCCCACAACTTAAGGCTTAGAACAGATCAAAACACCGGATAAAAAGCAAACTATGAGTGTGACTTTCTGCCTCCACCAAATCACCAATTTCCGCTTCATGGGTTTGAACGAGTAAAGCCTATGCTTCTCGCTGAAGACCACACTTATTTAAACCTTGTGAACTGGTGTTACAGATTCACAAAGAACTTTATCAAAGAACAGAAAACACATCACTTTACTTTCAACAGCAGCAACAACTAAAATGGATGTCACTCAAAGAGAAAATAATGACATAATCAAAATGCTGAAATTCCACACTACTTCAAATAAAAAGTTAGGAAAGAAACATCTATCAATACATTCCCC